TTTTCTATTACCAACGTTTCATTGCAATCCTCTTGGGTGCAACTGTTTGGAACACTTTCTTCCAGATATGACCCTGAGCAGTTTGAGGAAGGACAAAGATAATAAACTTTAGGACGTAGCATGTTTCTATCAATGTATCTCCGCATCTGGTATACTGATTCAAGCTCTTTGTATTCCAAATTTACACCTTTATACAATTCCGTCGAATGAAGCAGCTCGTCAACAGCAGTATGCGACAAGTTTTTCCTCACAGTAAGAGAAAGCACACTCAAAAGTTTCTCAAAGAAGCCAAAATTATACTCATTCTTCTCTTGTACATCAACGTTCATCTCTTCCTCAGAATCACTATGATCATCCAAGCTCTCACAATTATCTGAGTTCATCTCTTTCTCAGCATCACTATGATCATTCAAGCTCTCACAATTATCTGAGTCCATGACTTGTATCCTAGCTATAATGATGTTGAAATTATATATATTAGAAAACCTGTGGTCGCAGGGTGAAAGTTTGTCGGTGGTCAAAGGACACGTTTTTTAAAAGTGACACTGTTTTGCAGATTTTACCTTTTTCAAAGTAGAGTGCACAAAATGAGGAAAAAGTCAAAATACTTTTTAAAGTGCAACCATACATTTGAACAATGTACATAAGATGAAGTGAAAATATTCAGCAGTTGTGATCTGAAAAAACGAAGTTCCAGGCTCAAGCAGAATATGAACCATTTTAACCTCCAAATGACTAATTTCATCAATTTCGTTACATTTTGCTCAAAAATCGTTCCCATTACACTGATAGATAGAAGTGAGTAACTGCTTTCAGCATTTAAGTCATCATTAGCAATTCCAGTAGGTGACAGAATTCAGCAAAAAGTCATTTTGATATCTGCTCTATTAATGGTTCTTGTCAAAATATTAAAAAGATCAAGGCGTGTTTTTTAATGTGTTTTTTAATTGACAAGATAATGTTTGGCTGTGTCTTTAAACTAATTCCTACATGTCTGTGTGCCAGCTATTAGCAAAAAGTCACACATTAGAATTAGAATTAGAATTAGAATCAAATTTACACAGCAATACAATAAGAATAAAAAATAATTTAAGAAGCTTCAATCTGCTGTGCAGGACATTCAAGTCAGTCGAAAACTGTTAGAAGAACACCCTTCTGGGGACATACGGATATAGCATGTAAATTGTAAAACATAATAAGTAATAAATTAATGAGTGATAAAATAAGATATGATTTAACAGTGAACTGTGGGCATGAAGGTAACAATTAATGTTGAAAATTACATAGATGCCCACTTTGGAATTACGTTAGTAATATTATTTACAGTTATACACAGCTTAAAATTTTATCAAGAAAACAACACATTTTTCAAGAAAACAACAAATTTACTTGTACTGTTTACATTTAATCATGTCCCGAGTGCCCAAATTCAGCATATCAGTCATTATATAGGTGAATGATGTAAAAAGACAAAAATTGTCTATTCCTCGATCCACATGTATGTTAGTCTTAGTTTAAGCATCTAATGATAATGGTTGGTTTCAAATGGTTGGTTTCAAATGGTTCTTCTTAAGAGGCTGGATGTTGGAATGAAGTGTCTTCTTAGGGAGAATCAGTATGGGTTCAGATGGAACCGCTCATGCACATGTATTGATCAGATTTATTCCATCCGCACCATTATTCACAATTGCATTGAGTTTAACATTCCACTTTATGTTACAAACTTACCTTTGCAATACAGAACGAAATTAACTAACAACACTAACAACACTACATAATTTCTCGAGAGTACTACCAATCATGATCAGTACCTATACTATTCAGTATTATTCTATCGATGTTCTCATCTACAGTCTACACACATTTACAAGACGCCAACCAACACTCCTCATTCTTTGAACACAGTTATCATTCTTATATCAATAACATATGAATAATATTAACCTGCGACAAGTAAGAAACGGCATCGTTCATCGTAGCCTAAACTTTGACTAAAATTAGTCGTACAAAATTGACTTATCTCCACTGAATCGGTTCCTCGTAATAAAGACTACGCTAAAAAGAAAGTAGAGACTGCTAAGACAACTCTGTATTAAATATTAATTGTACACCGCCAGTGCATTTCTGCATATTCGACCAGCTGTGAAGATTTTTATAACAACATACATTCAACTGAATGTTCGCGTAAACTAAGTACGGCATATTTGATAATTTATCCCATTGATGTTACATGACCAACTTTAACATAATATAATTTTATATAAAATATGCAGCAGCTTAAAACAGTTCTCCTCGTAATACTAACTTTAATATGATACACAGACAAAATTGTTTCATTGTTTATCACTAAACACCACTAATCAGGCAAATTACCAAACGGCTGTTTCGAATGTTGTGTCTAATGTCAAACGACAACGAAACGCGAACAAAATTCTGACTTTGTATAACCAACTTTTTTTGACGTAAAAATATTCAAGTACAATATACACATAATATAGCAATGACCCTATATACAAAATTCTGTAAAAATGGTACAAATTTAAAAACTGAGGTAAAAATAAAACCCATTGTAATAATATATATAAAACCACTAAATCACATCACAACAAAAAGCAGTTTAGACCCCCATCCAACAAGCACTCCATGACCTTTTAGGGTTTAAGATATATATGATGTATAACCAAATGTATAACCAAATCTGCATCATGAACCAGCTGTACATGATACAGTGGGGTGACACACGTTTTCGTCACTTCTGATAATGACAATACAAACAGTGTTAAGCTAACAATTTTAATTAAACCATAACTCCGCTCCGGACCACCGATTTACAAAATTCAAAAATTCGGAACTTTTCTCGTATGGTAGAAATTAGGTTCATTTGTACTTCAGAAGAGACCGGCAGGCCCTTAAATAAGGGGTTTGATCACGATAGTGATAATATTTATGAAGGAGCATATGTTTTAATAGCAAGCTAAGAATTTGTCTCTACTTTAACATTACCATGAAGTTTAAAACGGAATATCTTTGTACTGCATTGTTCGATTACAATAAAATTGACATGGTAACAAGACTTAACGGGTGATACTCGTAAAATATTTGTTCCATGTATTAGACCGTCGACGAGTCCAACTCGGCGCGCGTCCTGGTAGGTTGTAAACCTACAATAACAAGACCAAATGTTTCTCAGTTGATTAAAATAAATACCGTCAGAGTTGTCAATTTTCAGCCAGAGATATTATAAGTTTTCTATGCTAAGTTGGATATTGTGAAGACTTCCCTAATCCTTAGTTTTAAGTGGTGTCAGAAATGTTACATCGTACTCACAAAATTTACTACAAATACGCCAAAGGGTCTGGACCTCGCACTAAACAAATTTTCCAGACTCGTAATTACATTCACTGCTAACAATATCGCGTGATGTGCACGCAAACTCGCGCGCAACAATGCGCGCATTCAAAAGTGAAGAAAACATATGTCACCCCACTGTACATGCACTATTAGGTCTATAACTTAATTTACGATGTCAATTCATGGCAGCTCATGGTCCGTTTTAAAATAAAAATTGCAATGGCCCTCGGATCGGACAAATCTAGCGAGCGAAGCAAACGCGCTCCAGAAAGGGGGGCGCTTTTTGAGTGGAGCGGGGGCGCCTTAACTATTGTAGCGCGATGCGTTACTGTGCCGCGCCACGCACTCAATGAGGTTTCTCACATCGACACCTTTAGATCGGCGGAATGTTCTACCGTGCCGCGCCGACCCAGGAAACCTAACCGTTAGGGGCCTAACTTCGGAAGTAAAAAAGATAGCGACTTCCGGTTTTTTGCAAAATGTTCGTCTTGTAAAAATAACGTTACCTCCCCAGGAGGAAAATTGGGGCTTCTCATTTTAAAAAGTTATTACAGAAAAACTGTTTTTGATGCTGCGCGCAACAAGCTAGAAAAATAACTTTGCAAAATAAACCCGTTGTTATGCGTGTGACGTCATCATGCATGACCATATTTGGAAATGCGCGTGAAGATAAGAGTACGTATTTTGCCGATCGCCTGCAGCACTTATTACGAAGTAGTTTCCAAAACTGTTATAGTCTTTTCTGTCCATTTTGTTGCTTTGGGATAATCAGGTGGATCCCATTAATTTTAATTGAAGTGAACACTGTTTTGAACAAAATTGAGAGCGTCTTTCGATTAAACAAATGTACAATGATTTCACATCTGAATGAGTAACTATCCAGCTGCTCAGTAGTTCTTATCTTATGTGCTGAAAGTTCATACTACACTCGATGAACTTGCTGTGCACTGGTAACAGAATATTTAGAACTTTTGACTCAAACACAAAACATCTGGCTCGTAAAATTACACAAACAAACATCATATGAAGACCGCCTCTCTCTTCGCAATGATTACGTAATGTAAATGGCCCGAGGCCCCAAACATCTGCTTTCAGGGCCTACATGACAACGCTAAAATTTAAATAATAAGAGCAAGATACACCAATTACAATAAAACAGCTGAGAGTCGTTCCGATCATATGTTAAGACATCACTTTTCAGCCTATTTTAGCTCCCTTACTCCCTATATAACCAGTTTTACAGTTACGAGTTAGTTATTGTGTTAAAATTACACAAACGTTATCATATAAACACCGCCTCTCTCTCCGATTGGGCTCCGATTACGTAATGTGAACGGCCCCAAACATCTACTTTCAGGGCCCTATAACGCTATAAATAATTTAAATCATAAGAAAGCAATTCCTTACACCCCAGTTCCACGGCCGGATATTATGCCAAATTATTAGACGGAGATCGTCTACTGATATTTCTCCGGTTTGCAGTTCCACGACCGGAGACCATCTACGGTAATTTTGTTGATTCTGTATGATTCTGTATGAATTAATCTCCGAGAAATTCCCGGAGAGCTCAGAGCTTAATCTCCGTCAAACTATACAGTTGACGGAGCCGGAGAATCATCTCCGGAGATGATCTACGGGGAATGGACCTCCGTCTAATAATTTGGCATAATATCTGGCCATGGAACTGGGGGGTTAAACCAATTCTAATAAAACAAATATTTATAGGTTACTCATTTGTTTCACATTTCAAAACAGCTCGATCCAATCCGGTGAGTAAGTTAGAATGTTCTGTCTTTGCAGATATATTTACGCTACAGTTCCTTCAGTTTATTCAGACGAATGTTGAAAATGTTCATGATCTTTAAGTAGACTCCCTGAAAAAATTTGGGTAGACATAAATAATACATAATATCGACAATACAACCAAAAAGAAAATATGCGCGTATGTGCGCGCGCTTTCTGTTTTACTTAACTGACGCTATTTGCTTTATACATCATAAACTTATGATGTATAAAGCAAATAGCGTCAGTTACTACTACTTGTAGTCAAAAACTTGCTAGAACAGTAGAAGAATGTGAATTAAGCTATCTCTTTTTATATGGAATGGCTGGAAAAGGGTGTCACCTTGACATAGAGGCACTGTAAGATTCAGGGCCGCGCGCGTCTGTTATAGAATTCTTAATTTAAGATCATATTAATACTTACGTGTTTTTGACGATTGCAGTGAAGGATAGAAAACATTTGGCAAGCTGACAGAGAAACATAACTTCCCTTCCATCGGACACCGGTCCAAAATGAAATTCTTATCCTCATCTCAAATGAAGTTTTGGTGTATTTAAGAGATGGAACTGTCACCCTTCGAATTTCTGTCTGAAGTTAAGATAACATTATTATAAATAACATAATCACCATTTGGGACAGGTGCTAACTATTAAACCACCAAAACATGTCTCACCTACCCCGGAACAAAAATCCACTACTAGTAGAGGCTCTTACGGGCATTGTCTGCTCGATACGTTAGGGACCCCAGATACACCTTTCTAGACGTATTTTTGACCGTAGAATCGATTGAAAGTAGTTTCAAGATAATTGGACTGATTGTTCTGGGGTAAAATCGCAAAAAACCGATTTTTGGGCCAAAAATAGGCCAAAAAACCATGTTTTTTGATATTTTGAGCAAGTTAATTTTGTTGGCATGTCGGCAAAACTTGCATAAAGATAGCTAAAAGACAGCCGCACAAGATTGTATAAAAATAAAACAAATCCCTCTATTTGTTCTGAGGTAAAAATCCAATAAAGTGGTAAAAATTTTGACTTTTTTGCTTGAAGTTTGAATAATTTTTTGCAGTTGTATTAAATCAACCCAAAAATAGTCACATCGTGTTTGCCTAAATTTTTCCTTTCCGAGAAGTACCCACTTAATATACTTTATCGAAGTTTGAATATTTTCACTCCGCAAGCGTTTTTGCCAAATTTTCGACGCGCACTACGCGCAAAAGCATTTAGTTGTTATCAATTGGCACCCGCGCGTTCATCATAAATTTCAAACAGCTATAACTCAGCGAGATTATGTCCGTTCTAGCTCATATTTTCACACTAAATAGAAAATAATGTGATCTTATTGCTGACAAAATATGAATATAATTACTCTATTTGCCTTAGAGTAATAGACTGTCAAAGTTTAAAACGCGCATTGGTATAGCACGTGACTAATAAGGCCAAATTTATACTTCTTAACATATTATCGATCCTTAGACATCATACTATTGTGTCCAATTAGCGGTTAGGTCTCTAAACTCGTAGCAGAAAACACGTCTTTTTGCCCGTAAGAGCCTCTACTATACAGCTAGGGGTAAAATTTTACAGTCTTGATTTGTCCTAGATTTGAGTAATTTTGGAATGGGCGTGGCCCCTGGGAGTTGCCTGGGTGGGTCAAGAGGTCGAAACCCGGTTTTTCTGATGGTTTGGGACAGGTACTAACTATTAAACCACCAAAACATGTCTCACCTACCCCGGAACAAAAATCCACTACAGGGGTAAAATTTTACAGTCTTGATTTGTCCTAGATTTGAGTAATTTACGGATGGGCGTGGCCCCTGGGAGTTGCCTGAGTGGGTCAAGAGGTCGAAACCCGGTTTTTCTGATGGTTTGAGACAGGTACTAACTATTAAACCACCAAAACATGTCTCACCTACCCCGGAACAAAAATCCACAACAGGGGTAAAATTTTACAGTCTTGATTTGTCCTAGATTTGAGTAATTTTGGGATGGGCGTGGCCCCTGGGAGTTGCCTGAGTGGGTCAAGAGGTCGAAACTTGGTTTTTCTGATGGTTTGAGACAGGTACTAACTATTTAACCACCAAAACATGTCTCACCTACCCCGGAACAAAAATCCACTACAGGGGTAACATTTTACAGCCTTGATTTGTCCTAGATTGGAGTAATTTTGGGATTGGCGTGGCCCCTATCAGTCCGCTTGTTGATGATATCACTGTGTTAGATACAGATTATGCAGATGGCATGGCTGTACTGGATAACAGCGAGGAAGGTCTTCAAGAAACAACTGACCTTTTGTGTATGTATGGTGCCCAGGGAGGTCTCAGAATCAATGGTAAAAAGACTGAGGCTATGGTCATTGGTAAAGCAACCTCTCAACGGCCATACACGAAAAAAGCCACAGTGAACATCACTGTTGAAGACACACCAGTGCAGCAAGTTAGTGACTTTACGTACTTAGGTACAATTATTTCCAGCGACGGTACTATCGACCGTGAGCTGTCAGCGAGGATTCAGAAAGCTTCCGGAGCCTTCAATCAACTGAGTAATATATGGAAAAACCGCAACATCCAGTCTTATACAAAGATCAGGATTTATAAGGCAGCGGTTTTGACAATATTGCTATATGGTAGTGAGGTTTGGAACACAACCAAAAAGCAGCTACATCGCTTTGAGGTGTTCCATCAGCGTTGCTTGAGGAGAATACTTAGGATAAGATGGCTCGATCGGGTTAGAAACACTGAAGTGCTGGAGCGTGCAAAGATAAATCCAGTAGAGACGTACATAGGAGCAAACCGCCTGCGTTGGTTTGGCCATGTCACCAGAATGCCAGACACTAGGCTTCCTAAGTACCTGCTTAACTGGACCCCTGCCCATAGGAGAAGATCTAGGGGCCGTCCAAGAAAGAACTGGAGGAAATGTTTGCTGGAAGATGCTGCAGCGTTTACAGGAAACACTGACATAGACCTAGAAGGAGCGAGCGAGATGGCTAGTGACCGCAAACTTTGGAGGGAGATGATACGTCACAAACGGGAGTTCATTGGTGCAGGCCACTCGAATGATTGAGGAGACCTAATCAAGTACAAGTAAGTAAGTAAGTGGCCCCTGGGAGTTGCCTGAGTGGGTCAAGAGGTCGAAACCCGGTTTTCTGATGGTTTGAGACAGGTACTAACTATTTAACCACCAAAACATGTCTCACCTACCCCGGAACAAAAATCCACTACACCTGTGAAATCCACTACACACATCAAGGAAACGTGCTCTCAGAGATAAACATAACTTACCTTTCGTACAGGGAAAGCTGGACACCGGTCCTAATTCTTATCCTCATCTCAAAAGAAGTCTTGGTGTACTTAAGCGAAGGAACTGTCACCCTCCGAAACACTGTCTGAAGTTAAGATAAGATTATTTTAAATAACATAATCACCATTCAAAAAGGGATATGAAATATTAAACTATATTCCAAGAATCGGAAAAAATGACAATCTTGTTGTAATTTGATTTGAACGTTCTCAATGAGCATAGAACAGAGCTGATAGTCAGGTGATGTCATATTCACGTTAAAATGTTACTAAACAGACTTAAAACTGAATGAAAATCACCTTGTATTGTACAAAATATGAACGTAGTTGTGGCAAAGTCAGATTTTCTCTACCAGGAAGGTGAGAGGTACTGAGCTGGTACTCAGAAGACTTACAGTACAACCAGTTGTAATCTTGTAGGAACATATCAACACAGTTCAATTCTGCACTCACACTTAAAATACAGTTAAAATATTTAAAAATAAAATAAGGTATAGTCTGCTAATACAAAAATTGTAGCTGGAAAAATAACATACTGTAAAACATCAAGCTTGTAGATGATGTTTTACAGCATTAAATGAGCAATGGCAGGGAATATATTTCTCGAGCGAATGTTCTAAGAGCAAAATGTTAATTCGATTACTGTGAAACGTGAAAATAAGGATAAACTCCCTGCCATTATCCCACAAACGGTTAATCATAGCCAACAAAATCTGCATCACCCACTGCTTACCAACGAGGAGGTCTTACCTATTAAAGCAGCATCAGATATTTGTTATGTTTTTACAAATGATTTAAAACGTTACAAAATTATGATTCTTATAATTACAATAACAGACGATAAAATAATAATAAAACGAGACACTGACCTTTTCCAGAAGAAAACAAGCTTAACATGATACTTTTACTACACCAACTAAACTTTACCCTGCATTTATTTAGCAACTACTTCCCAACTACTTTGTAAAAATGTAAGTTACTACATTAAATCCTTTCCCTATCTTTCATAACTAAATTTGGTAGCTCATTTCCTTCCTGGTGTGAATTCCAAGGCAGTCATTGAGCCAGCTCAACACTATGATCCACAATCTAGCCTAATGCAGTGTTTTTCAACCACACAACTAGCAGGATCGAATAGGTGATCTTAACTCAATGAGTACTTCATGGCTCCTCACACAACAGTCAATTTCTCAATCTTTCTCTCAAAAATAATGTTAAAAATGTATATAATAAACAAATAATTTTCGCAACTACTCCATTGGATTCAAAAACATGTAAACATGTTTTGCTCGACAAATTTTCGTTGAATTTTGTTGAATTTAGTCAAGATAAAAATATGTAATAAAAATAATATAAATGCAATGACTTAACTTGGAATAAATCAATCATAAAATAAATTTGTCACGATACATAAAATAACTGCAATAGAATCAATCTGACTTATTTAATACTTACACCGAACAATTGACACAAAATAAATAATACTTGAAATCGACACAAAATAAATCATACTGAATGATACAAAATAGGTTACAAGGACTTGCTTGCTCTAATATTTATAGTGATCTGTACATAAAATAATTGTGAGTATTAATTTCATAGGTGAGCTTGTTCAAGACTTCGAGAGCTATGAGCTTTAATTTTTGTTTTTCTCTAAGTTTCTTGACAAACTGATTGTCCTCAATGGAATCGGTTGATTGCCTATTAGTAATTAATTTATCTACGGCACCTGATAGTTTGTCGATGTCTTTTTGGTAAGATAACAATTTGGTGCTTATGAAGTTATGAGTTCAATTGAGTCCGTAATCCTACTTATAGTATGCTAATTCATTATGCTGTCTATTATTATTACTGTCTTTTGGATCCTTAATACAACTAGATGATGCCAAGGCTAATCTGCGACTACTACTGTCTAAGTGAATAATTTCATCTGGGACAGCGTTAAGAATTTTGGAAATACATTTAGCCATGTTGCTGTGTTTAAGCTTATCGTATTTTTCAGGATCAGAGGGAAACATTTCAATCAATAATTTCAACATTGACGAAAAGTTTGCTGGCAGCTTTTGTCTGCTAGGATTTTCCCTATCAATGTTAATATTTTCTATTATTTCGCTTGACGTTATGATATCAGGTGTTAATAGTGGGCCCTGACCTAATAGTTTACACAAATTGGAGAAATCTACCCCACCATTGACAAAAATGTTGCAAGCAAATTTCTGATAGATAGCAGCTTTGGTATTTAGAATTATCTCAATCGTTGATGTCAATATATTGTGGATTGGGAAATCAGGAAATAACTTTGATAAACATGGTGGGCATGATGACAGACAGTTTTCTGAGCGACATTCTCTAGAGGAAAAGAATTTAAGGTCGTTTTCCGAGGACAAACTCATATATCGTTCATTAGTATTGGAAACGACAAAATTTGAAATGCGATAAACGTGTCCTGCAAAGTCTTGGATGTTGGACGTTATAAATTCTTTGGTAAAAACAATGTCAGGAATAGGACTTCTTTGATGAAATGCAGTGATGGCAGAAGAAACTGTGCTACGATAAGTTTTGAAATTGTTTGCAGTTTTAAAGTATCTGGAGATTTCTTGACGTTTTAGGACATTAAGCAGGAAACTCTCTTGAAAGTGTTTTCGATTGGTAAAACTGTGAGCAGAGACCTTCAGTTGCCGAAAAATATCTTCCATGCGTCCGGCATGCACTGACAAAAAGTTAGTAAGTTCGAATGTTGGACCCATGTAGTAAACTATGCCGAGGAAGTAAATAGAATTAATAACTTTAAGAGCAGTAGGTATCGTAATCTGTATTTCTTTCAAAGTTTTAAACCATACAAAAATGATATTATGAAGCAGCAATGTGGAGGCACCTGACCGTTTAGACTCATCTTTGTATCCAAATATATGAATTTCTAGAAGTGCTCTGAAGTAAGTATAATAAAGGCATTTAGGACACTTGGTCACAATTGACAAAGTAAAAATATCCCCGCAAATATTACAGGACAACCCGTCTGGAAATAATTTCATTTCTAGTTTCTGGACAATTTCAATTAAATTCTTAAAAACTGACTCGCCAGATTTTTCGTGTTTTGATCCGTAATCAAAATTACAACAATTGGATATAATCTCATGTACTAATTTTAATGGTCCGTCACCTTGAGGTCCTGGAATGTGTTTGAATGATTTGAGGGTTTCGCCTCTGAGACCATGAAGACATTCATTTCCCAAAAGTTCAGCCCCTTCAAGACCAATTTCTTCAGGTGATTTATCAGGAGTAGCCATGAATAGAATAGGGGGTCGCCTTATACCCCCTAAGTCATTTTTCAAAAACTCTTTTATCTGTTCGCTATTCATATTATCAAGACGCTTATGTGGCCATCTTATTTTCATTAGTTCTAATGCTGAGGCGGGTTTATCTTTTAAATCTTGTAGCGATTTTCCGCGATTTTCAGGATTTTCGAAGAACCCACCTTTATTAGCATGTTTTGTAGTTTTGTCGAATGTCATGTGTTCAAATTTTACAATTTCGTAATATTCATAATGATCTATAGGGAAGCATTCTAATAAGGTAGGATTACGATACGGTCCACTCTTGTTTGAACCATTCTCAACACTCCTTACAGGCGCATCGCCATTCACAAATTTTAATCTGTCCGAGAATTCGATTCCGCAGTTTGTTTTAATTGTAACTTTAAAGGCAGCTAACTGGTTAGTTCTAAATTCTTGTAATGCCTCTTCGCTTTTGGTTGTCGAAGGCGACTTAGCTATATATTGGATGTAAATTTGCTCGACAGCTTTTTGTAAATCCCCTTCACATAGATCATTTGATTGGTAAAGGGACTTGCTGTATAAAAGCCAAACGACAAAAAGGATGTAACTTCTGTTTAAAATAACGGCGTGATCATACCACATTGCAAAGCTCCTTGTAGACTCAGCTTCTTCAAGTTTTTTTCTAAGAAAACTTTCGTCGTATTTTTGGAAGTCGCTCTCACAAATCAAACTATAACTCTTTAAGGTGCATTTCACCTCGTCAATCGACAAATTTTGGTAATGCTCTTTTGGTTTGGCCTTCAAGAAATTATTACCAGACTGGAAACTTAGGGAATGTTCTCTAATTGACATAAGGTCAACTAATCGTGAGTTAGCTGCTACCTGTTTAGGACATGATTTAACCAAATCCCAACCTTCATACAAAAGTGGTATCTGGGGAGTCCCCAGCAAAATTGATTGGAGTTCTCTTAGTATTTCAACTTTTTCATCAGCGACACTAGGAATTCTTGGGATATAAAGATCGTCAACTAGAGGGTGGGGCTTGTAGCGTGTCCGAGCATTACTGTGGACAGCAAGTATGGGTCTTAACTCACTGTAAATACCATGATTTCTCGGAAGTAAAAGGTAATTTAAGCAGACAGATTGTGCATAATCGGACAATCTTTTCCCTCCTTTAGGGCCAGTTAAACTATATTTTGTACCCAGTTTAAAGAAACTTGGTTCGAAATGGTACGTAAGGACGTGCGAACAGTATTCATTAAACAGGTCCCCAAGCTCAATATTTGGATCGGATGACTTAATGTGGCGATAATCTGGTAGATTAGACAGATGTTGCTCGATGTCTGTTTTAGAAAATTCAGTGCAAAATATAGTACGGTGCAAAATATAGTACGGTCTAAATTCTCGACCTGACTTCCTGAAAGACCACTGCCATATAATAGTGGATAAGCGCACTAGCCTCGGTTAAATGATCATTGAATTTTGCAACATTGATGGTTAGTTCCGATTTGTACCGCTCAAATTCCACTTTTAATTCGCTCAAAGATATTTCGAAATTTTCGACACTTTTATCGTAGCTAGAAAGAATTTCGTAGGAAGTCCTGCATATGCATTCATGGATTTCCTTAAAACTCTTTCCACGACCTAACTCGTTATTAGCAAATTCGGATAAAATTTTGTTGCATCTACTTTTCAAATTATCACCTCCGTCATTGTTTGACATATTAAAACAAACACTACAAGGGACGCCTTCTACTTGTGGCCTACTGTTTTCATGTGAAATGCGAATTTGATCACTCCTATAAGTCTGCTTAAGAGAATCTAAAACCTCTTTATCGGCGATACACTTGGCTTGACCAATAATTCGACGAAAATTTCGCGAATCCAAGTAATTACGAACGTAACCAAAATAATGGGGAAATTGATTCACATGGTCTTCTACGCGTCCGTCAAATTCTGACAATACAAAATGTGCCAAAATGTACTTACAGAAAGGAAGCTTTGAGTATCCAGATTTGTAGGGGGCACATACTTATTACTTTATTAATAATGATATCGCTTGCTTGTAATAGAGCTGAGTAATAGATATAACATCTGATTAGGTTATTATAGTAGTTTGTGTAACGGTCGATATATGACATGCAATTATTAGTTAACAGTTAAGCATTGCAAAGGCTTGCACGCCACAACTGGCCTCTAGGCAAGGTTGTGGCTAACCTCCGCAAGCGTTTGGCCCTCTTTATATACTAGCTATTTCAACCGTATTCAGTGTGATTTTAGTGTAACTATAGTGTGATTCTATTGTGATCTTAGTTGACTCTAGTTGTGATCTTGTCGGATAGATTATAGTGTATCTTCATCGTTTACATTACACTGCCCTATCTTATACACCTTGTCTCATTTCTACTCCTGAACTCAAATTATACAATAGAAGACGGGAAGCTACATCTGGCGCGAACGGTAGTTGATAATGTCACGAACCTTCAACACGCAAGAAGAATTGGAAACATACGTAGCGGAACGTCTTCAGCACCAATTGGAGAAGGAAAGCCATGGTAAGGTCCCTTACCTGCCCACACGGAAACCAGAACGGTTTAACCCAGCACACTCAACTCTCTCTGACTGGCTGCTAGGCTGGGAGTCGTACGTGAAACTGCTCCAGCTACCCAAAGAAAAATACTTGGGAATCCTCAAAACCTTCTTGGGGACGGAGACCCTCAAGCTCATCAGGTCAAGACAGTTCTTAACAGAAGAGGAGTCGGAATGGGATAAGACAGTAAGGCCAACTTTGATGACACTGCTAGACTCGGATAAGGTCATAGATAAAGAAGCGCTGAAGAGCAATTTCCTCAAGATTGCCCAGCAACAGGGAGAAGACATCGCCAACTTCGGCACCAGAGTGAAAAGATCGTACCTGGAGGCATATGGGGCAACAGCAAACGAAGATTTGCTGAAAACGGTGTTCCAGAACGGATTAAGAGACCGAAATCTTGTACTGCACCTGTCAATGTGGCAGTTGGATGTGACAGACACCCCAAAGACGTTTGCAGAAACCCTAAAAAGAGCTCAGCAAGTGGAGTCAGCCATGGGACTCAACGCCTCATCAGAGAACCACAGCACCAACGAACAGACACACGATATCCTCGCAGTCAACAGGAACCGAGCAGAACCCTCGAGAACCAGGGCAGAATTTCCAGCTGAACCCCACAATGTCGAACCACGCCATCATCAACAAGCCCCCGGGTACACTAACTATCGTAACACCAATCCCCAACAAGTTCGAGGTGGTAATGTAAGGCAAAGTGAACCACCCCGATACAACAGGTACCAGGAGACACGGACCTGCTTCTACTGTAACAGAGTTGGCCACATCAAAAGAGACTGCAGAACGAAGCAGAGAGACAGCAATCAGAACAGGAACCATAATCAAAGACTAGACAGCAGAAGTCAGGACAGAGAACGGTCCAACACTCATGGTTACCAACCTCAAGACTACCGACAGCACCAAAGTCCGGCGAATCCACGATCCAGTTACACAGGGTACGACCCTAACAACAACACTATAGCTGCGACTGATAGTCAGCATCACCCCGATGTCAGAAGCCAGCACCACAGCTATAACAGTACGATGACAGGAGCCCCAGATCAACACACAGCTCCCACTTCTCGCAACATCCCGGTTCCGGAAAACTACTGAGGCCCTCCCCGCACGACGGAGGGAGGGCCCCGACACATGTTAACCTCTGTCAAGGAGACGTCTACATCGAAGCCAAAGTCGGCAGTCGGCCAACCGAGTTCATGCTGATAGACACAGGATCTTCACAGAACCTCATCACGACACAACACCTAGAAGACCTAAGCATTAACCTCAGCAACCTCGGCAAATCTACAGCTCGACTCACCGGAGTAACGGGTACCAAGATCATCGTCCGCGGATCCATCGAACTCAGCATACGGATAAATGGAACCAACCTGAAATCTAATTTCATCGTGATCGACAACTCCCTCCTCACATTATCCTTGGGATACCCTTTATCAGTGGTCACGACCTGATCATTAACTACCGTAGGAGAGTGCTCCACAACGAAGACTTTACGACGCCCCTCATATCCTTATCGGCAATCAACAAGGTGGAAGACTTTCCTCTACCAAACAAGGAACGGATGGACAAGATCTGCAAGTCACTGGATCTCGAGAACAGTCCTCTGAACGAGGCACAAAGGCAGCAGATCCGGGGCCTCATAGGCAGATACTCACACGTATTTGCGCTTAGTAGAGACGAAGTAGGTCAGACTCACCTCGTAGAACACACCATCCCACTAACATCCGACGTTCCAGTCAAGTGCAAATACCGACCTGTACCCCTTCATGCTATTGATGATTGTGTCGAAGAGATTGACGCTCTCCTACGGAGGGGAGTCATCGAACGATCGGATTCGGAGTATACCTCACCGGTCGTCATCGTGAAGAAGCCAAACAAGTTCAGAATCTGCGTCGACTACAGGGAGCTCAACAAAATCTCTATCGCCAGCAAAGCAGCACTGCCAGCACTCAGCACTCTCACCTCAACGTTCCATGGGTGCAAGTACTTCTGCAGCCTCGATCTACGAGAAGCGTTCTACCAAGTCCCTATCAAGGAGGAACACAGGGACAGGACCGCGTGGACGATCCCGTCCATTGGACACTTCCGCAACGTCGTTATGAGTCTCGGGCTTAAGGGGTGCCCAGCGACGATGCAGTCACTGTTAGATAAACTATTGGAAGGCCTGAGAGACAAAGCAGCAGGCTACGTTGATGACATAATCGCAGGAGGAATCACTTTTGAGGAGATGTTTGAGTTACTAACAGAAATACTCCGACGTCTGGAATCTGCAGGCCTGAAGCTCCACCCTGACAAGTGTAAGTTGTTCCGGAAGAAAGTTTCCTTCGCAGGAGTTGATCTCACCCAGAACGGAATCGAAGTAGACACAAAGAAGATTGAGGCAATTCAAGACATGTGCCTCCCAAAGACAAAGAAGATGATGATGGCCCTACTTGGAAGTTTCAACTGGTTCAGGAACGTAATCAAGAACTTCGCTGAACTCACCCGGCCCATGATTAACACCCTCAAAGAACCTAAATTCATTCTCACCGAAGAAGCGACAGAGAACATCAATAAATTGAAAGATGCCCTGACCAAGGCGCCCATCCTAATATATCCTATCATGACAGAGCCCCTCCACCTCTTCACGGATAGTAGCTCATACTGCATAGGTGGCTCGATAGGTCACATTATCGACGAACAGTTTCATCCGATATCTTATGGTTCGAAGATACTCTCCCCTGCCGAGACCGCCTACCCTACCTTCAAAAGAGAACTGCTGGCTCTAAAGCACTTCGCTACTCACTGGAGGTTTTACACCATCGGCAAGCCATTTATCGTCCATGTAGATCACAAGGCTATATCACAGGACAAGTTCCTCAGGAAGACCAACTGCGGCGTCCTACTGTCCTGGATCATGGAGCTAGAAGAGTACGATTTCGAGATCACATATACGAAGGGCGAAGACATGGGGGTTCCCGATGCACTGTCAAGACTCCCACAGCACAGCGATAAGCTCTACGAGTGGTGGGAGAACAGATTCTCGTCATTGGAGAAGAAAGACAACTTTTTGGAAACAATAAAAGATCAAGATAATTCCAACACAAGAAGTTTTCCACACGTCATTAACCCGGTCCCAATTGACATGGACAGCCCCTCTGATACTCCATGTAGTCGATGTTCACACTCGTCGTCATCACGTCGCTCCTTGCCGCCGGTGCCGCAAATCAGTCAGCCGTCTCACCGCAGAAACCAGAAGCCTCAAAGTAAATCACCGAGTAAGGCATCAACGTCAAGTGCAGTAACAGTTGTTGATGATCAGTCATCAGAGACTGAAGAAGAGGAAGATGAGCTAAGTACAGGACCAGTAGGCTCGGTTGATAACCCAATACCCGCACCTAATGATAGAGACGGTACCCTACGAAGAGCCCAGATAGACGACGACACTACAAGGACAGTAAAACTGTGGCTCACTAATGGCAAACCGGAGAAGAAGGACACAACCCAGTTCAACGCAGATCTACGACACTACTACAGCTGTTTTGAACTCCTCACAATAAACAAAAAAGACCTCCTCTGTTACAAGTGGTACGGAAAGGCAAGTCAGAAATACAGACTCTTAATATGTGTCCCATCAAAGTTAAGGGAAAAGATGATATCCGGGAATCACGACCTTGAAGCAGCCGGACACCTTGGACCAGCAAAGACTCTGGAAAAGATACGTGTAATGTTTTTCTGGCCAAAGATGAAGCTGGAAGTCACTCTCTACTGCAACACCTGCTACAAGTGTTACCTACCCAACCTGGCGTACAAAGCCAAACCTAAAGCAGGACTCAACCCTATCTCGGTAATGAGGCCGAACGAGCTACTTTGTATTGACCTCATCGGGCCTTTCACTCGGATCGATAAGTACAAGTGGTGTCTAACTATGGTTGATAAGTTTACTAACTGGGTGGTAGCAGTTCCACTTCCTGATGCTAAGTCACCGACCATCGCGAGGGCCATAGTAGACTCATGGATCATCAACCACGGCGTGCCAGAGAGAGTGTTATCTGACCAAGGAGCTAACTTGGATCCAAGTAGCGTCATGAAAGAACTCTACAGCGTGCTACAGATCAAGAAGTCCAGGACGACAGCCTACAAACCCTCAACTAACGGACTTGCTGAGAACAAGAACAGACAGATCAAGGTGTGTCTAACAAAGTTCATTGCCGACCACCCCGACCTCTGGTCAGAAAAGATCGGAGTGCTAACGTTTGCGATGAACACGAGTGTCTGTAAGTCATCTGGCTACACACCATTCTTCCTGAATCACGGTAGAGAAGCCCGGGTACCCAATGATCTCGTTTTCGGGACCACATCGTCGGAGTACTATCAGTCCCATCACCACCTTGCATCACGGCTGTATCATCAATTAAAAGAAACGTGGGAGTTT